TCAAGCACATGCATAAGACCATATTCAACCACCTCTAAGTCTGAATCTATCCCCCAAAATTAAACTAAAAGACCCTCTTCGAATTACCCAGGCCCCTGTATTCCTGCCGTCCTTAAGGGAGCTGGGTTCTAGCACACACAGGAAGACTCCAGGGTTCGACCACGATTTAGGATGAGTTCGGGTTTAGGCCCGAGTGTATCAGGGTCTACTTGGAGGTTCATGGGATATATTATATAAGTAAGTACAGCTATGTACCGTAATGGGTATATAAGCATTATAATCGTAATTATATAATAAGTTGCCTTATACCATAGTTATAATATTACTTATCCCATAAACCCCAAAGTACAGGTTCAGGGTTTAGGGTGTAGCCAGGGTTTTATAAGGTCAGCTAGTCTAGGGATTCAAGTATACTAGGGTTTAGTTAGGCGTCAGGGTTCATAAGGTGCAAGGGTTCAGGGTTTATTTGGTCTTTGTCGCACTGCACCTTCATGGGTACCACCAGTTTCATATTAGTGGATCCCAAGCATAGAGCCGGTAATCCAAAAACCCTAGAATCGTTTTCATAATGCACCCTCAAGTCCGAAAGCTCAAACCCTCCAACTCCTGTTATGCTAGGAAGCCATGCGAGCCAAGGCACATCATCATCGGTCGGCGCAACAACTTCGAGCTTCTCGCCGGGATCCACCTTGCACGTGGGAGCTTCGAGTTTGGAATCTTGAGATGCACATGATCATGATGGCTTCGTAGCTACTATATGTTTACCTAAGCCAAGAAACGTTGGATCCATTGAGCACACATTCTTCGAAAAGTCGTAGAGTCTCTTTGCAGAACTCAGAAGGGTAGCTTGCACTCCATTTCAACCCACGGCATCCCGTAACTTTCATCTTACCTTTCGAAAATTTGCGCCGCACCATCTGGATGCCGCTGTCCTGCTGCTTCTTTTTGAGCTCAGCAATAGCCCCGGGCTTCATCTTCTTGGCATACTTTGAGATGATGGGGGAAGTTCCCAGGAGCCTTGTTGTAGTCACAATCAACTTTCTACTGCATTCTGCATAGGACTTTTCATGATAACATTGCAGCCCCGGGCACCATGTTGGCTTCATTGCGAAGTGGCCATAAGCCCCGAGATTCAGTCGATGAAACCATGTGTTATTGCAACATGAAACAGCATAGCGGATCGCCGGGAAAAATCGCAGGAAGCTGCTGCCAGGCTGTTCTATCTCGGCACAGCAAACAGAAAAAGCGATCATTTGCAATTGCTGAACTAGAAGACTCGATACAATATACTCAAGCTTCTCGCAGCAAAGGAGCTACCCACTGCACCCCCAAAGCTTCTGCCAGCAGCAACAGCAGAGCAGTGCGACTAGCGATCGAGTTTGCTGTTGCCACCGAAGGGATATGGATATTTCCAACAGAGGCATCCTCTGTGCGACCGTGGATCTTGGTAGAGACCCAGACCCACCTTAGACAATCACAATCTAGACTGTAAGTTTAAATACACCACAGTATCATGTTGCAAGGAAGATGCAGCCCACATGGCACTCCGACCCACATCAATGAAACAGATTCTTTGCATCTCATCACATCCCTGACCTGGGGCACCGATCATAAAGCGACAAGCAGCCCCCGACCCAAAATTGTTGACATGAACCCTATATACACCAAGTAGCAGCGATTGCAAAACCAATCGGACTGAGTATGTCGTTCTCCGCCCGGAGCACGATGTCGAAGTTCTGCCTTCTTTAGATCTAGATAAAAATATTAATTGCCTTTCACACATATATATATATGCAATATGTTATTAGCCAGGGCACGATGTGTAGTGTTGGCTTCTGAAAGTTCGAGTCATCGTGGAGCTCCCAGCAAACACCTCGAAGAAATCAAGGTTTCGCCGCCAAATCTGCGACCCCTGCTCGCGGAAGAGGTCGGTTTGGGCAACGTAGTCGCACAAGTCGATCCTAGGTTTTGTTGGGTCTGATCCTCAAACCCCTAGCTTATGCAACGGCTTGCATACATGTGCAGTTTATTCGAATCGAGCTGCATCACTTCGGGTACTTTCCAGGCTAACAGATTGGCGGCTGTCTTCTGTGAAACATACACCGGAACTGCAGCGGGGGAGGCTGCTACCATGTCGGAGCTTGTAGGGACCATGGCTCTACAGGCAGGAAATGCTACACATTACAAGTGGGTTCCCACAACAGGGTTTTACAGCAGCTACGGGATTGGCAGGTTTGAGTATCTCTCAGGTTGTCCACAAAACTGTACATCTATACATGCAATTGCAAAATCCTGCAACCGAAAAGAATCGAGGGATGGTGCACTGGCATTCATCATGGTCATGCTCTACTTGTGTCCCCACAACATCAACTAGTGCAAGCTTTCGAGTTCTCGAATATTTTGCTCCGGATTCCTCAGCAATGTAACCCGTTGCTGCATCTAGATCTTGATTGTCACTTCGGATGTGGCCATACCACATCCAAAGGGAACTCGATGGCACAATCCTCCGATTGGAACCATAGGCCACACTTGACAAAAGCCTCAGCCCACAAAGTGAGTTGACTTCTATTGCAATAAAACGAATCACCAACATCAGCAATGACAGTATTCGATGCTAGACACGTACCTCAGGCAACGTCGCCGGGTGGAGCAGCTGCATTGCCGCCGGGAAGATCACCTTCGGCAACCTTGGGCGAGAGTAGAAGTATATAACCGGTACCTAATTAGGTTGAACAGTCAAAATAAGTATACGTAGATCTGTTCCGGGGCTGACGGTTCCGCATGCGGGAATGTCGCCATGCGCCAAAGATCCGGTTTAGAGCATTTAGGGTTTAGGGGTTTTGAGAGTTTATTAGGGTTTTCTATAGGGGCATAGGGTGTTTCGACTCTCACACTCGCACAAGCAGGCAAAGCTCCTCATGTTTAGGGTGTTTAGGGTTTAGGGTGTTTAGGGTTCAGGGTGTTTATTAGGGTTTAGGGTGTTTAGGGTTCAGGGTGTTTATTAGGGTTTAGGGTGTTTATTGAGGGTGAAGGCAGGACTCCAAGCCCCCCAGACCCGTAAGGCAGAGGGTTCAGCACAACCCAGATCTACCATTAATAATTCTATTATTAATGTCGAACAATTTTCCCGATTCCTATATATATATATAATAACTTTAATAATCTATAATATATTATTATAATATATATATATATATCAAAAATAAATTTAACATCCCGTATCGAAAGTTCCTAAAACCCTAAACCCTCTAGATCTTCCACATCCACATGCATGTTCCTTCGCAAGATTGTGTTCGCCGTGCATATCTCGGTTGCCTGCTTGGGGCACCAGCCGCTGCGGAGTTAGCCGCAGCGTCCTGTGACCTGTGGCAGCATCCTCGCATTATTAGTCATTTACCATATTAATAATATAATATAATAATAATAGAAATAAATCGGTCGGATAGGTTAAATAAGTAGCAGCAGCAGCAGAATCAGGAGCAGCAGAAGGCGTAGTAATATTTATACAAACCACCTTAAACCCTAAAGCCCATAATAATAATTAAAGCCCTAAAGCCCTAAACCCTAGAACCCTAGAGCTCTGAAGCCTTAAAGCCCTAGAGCCCACAACCCTTAGCCCAAATCTTGGAAGCAAGCTTCCAGCCTGCACAAGAGGCCTCACCCCAGCTGATACTCACTCTTTAGGGTTTAGGGGTTTATAGGGTTATTAGGGCTTATATGCAGAAAAATCGTTCCCCTAGAATCCCGCAGCACGACCCTGACCTATAAGCCTCCAACCGCCCTAAACCCGAACCCCAATCCCTAAACCTGATCCCTAATAACCCTCCAGCTACCTACATAGGGCCCTAACGGTTCTACTAGGTACCTGAGGGGGATTAGAAGCAGGAAACACGAAACATGTCAACAGCTTCACTGTTGTTGCAGTGCCGCAATCTTCAACCCGACCTGGAATGCAGGGTTAATGATTTAGGGTTTATAGGGGCTTTCTATTTAAATTGGGGTCTAGTTCTAGCGTACATAGCAGCAGCAGATTCTAGCAGTAGTACGTATACGTAGTAGAAGGATAGTAGTATTATAATTAGTAGCAGTAGTAGTAGTAGTAGTACTACTACTACTACTACTACTACGATACTACTACTACTACTACTACTACTACTACTACTACGACGACTATACTACCAGTACTAGTACTAGTACTAGACAGTACTAGTACTACTGTGGATGGAGGAAATGTTGCACTATATAATTATAAGTACTAGTACTACTAGTACTATAGTAGTAGTAGTAGTAGTAGATAGTAGTAGTAGTAGTAGTAGTAGTAGTAGATGATAGTAGTAGTAGTAGTAGTAGTAGTAGTACTAGATAGTAGTATAATATAGTAGTAGCAGCAGCAGTAGCAGTAGCCATAGTAGTAGCAGTATCAGCAGCAGTAGCTAGTAACATTGCAACTATTAGTAGGGCTAACTAAGGTTTGTTGAAATTGTATTCGTTGCACAGCTTCGCAAGTTGGAACGAACCCGTATTATCCTCGGACTGCCATCATCCTGTAAAAGCTCTCCCGTGAAATTATGGGACATCAAAGCCTCAATCACACATATGCACATGCAGAGAATGACCCAACACTTTAAGTCCTGTCTAGCTAGAGTTTGGAATTCATCTGTTTGCAGTTATAACAGATCGAACTTCGAGGTTATCCAGGGTTGCACGACCTCAGCGTTTAGGTTTTCAGCGAGTTTGGGGTTAGGGGTTTTGGGCGCTTAGGGGTTTATTAGAATTCGAAGCCAAGCTGCTTGTACTGTCGTGTCGTAGTGTTATGATTGTGATAGAGGTGTTCTGGTGATGGTGGTGCAGGCTGGAGATTCAACCCGAGCATGAACCTAGGATGTGAAACTAAACCCTATAAAATCTTAGGGGTGATGACTGTTATAATCCCGGTATCACCCCCCCTAACCTCGTATTCGGAACTAGACCATCAGATGATCACACCAATAAATTTAAAGCTAAGCTACCCCAGCACAACGAAGTGCACTGATCCACGACAGCCGCCATCCTCCGTATTTACGGATGCTAATAGTCGTCCCGCCTTTGCCATCCACCTTGAAGCCACCAGCTCCGGTACTGGTTTTCACATAGATCCCGGCCTCGTGCCAAAGCACTTGCACCTTGGACGTGTCTAGGTCGAGGGTGTACGATTTGCGAAGGCCACCGAAGCCGTCCGGTATGATAACCTTGGCCTTCTTCAGAACTTCAGCCTTAGATTGGGGAGGTGTAAAGTTTAATAGGGGTACCCGAAAACCCCATAAACCCTAAAAGATATTTAACCCTAAACCCTGCTAAGATACACCCTAGTGCATTTAGACTCGACTCATATCAAATTATGATCATGATTTCAAAGCCTGAGGGCTTGAGGGTTGGCGGGCTAAGTCTATAAGGCTAAAGACTATCGAAGGCTGCCTTTCGAATTCAATCCCCACGTGTTCCGAAACTCCCAGCTCGACTTATAAAGCTTAGCAACAACCTGTTCCCACGGGTCGCCAATGTTGGTTAGGAACTCAGGCTCTGCCACGACAGCCGGCGGCCTTGCGGCTGGTGCGGCCGCGGCGGCCGCGGCGGCTGCGGGGGCTGCGCGGGCTGCGGGCTCTCCGGGCTCTCCGGGCTCATTGTCATTCGGCTGGCAAGCTTTCGCCTTCGCTTTCGACTTAGCCGCCTTACCCTTGGGCTTGGGCGCCTTGACCTCCCCGTCTTTCTTGACCGGTCGATCCCCGCCCGTCTCGGCTTTCTTCTCCATCTTCTGCAATTTCTTGTTGGCCGAGTCTTTGCGTGCAGCATCGACAATCTTGCACGGATTTAAGGATTTCGGCTCATGATAATAGGGTGTACGGTGTAGGGTTTAGGGCTTATAAGGGGTTTGGGGTTTAAGGGTTTAAGGGTTTAAGGGTTTAGGGTGAGTTTAGGGTGATAGGGCGAGTTTAGGGTGAGTTTAGGGTTTGTAGGGTTTCACCCGACCTTCCGCTGAGCATTCACCAAGTCATGATCCTCAGCAGCCTGACCCTTCAAGTCCTTGGCAACTTCACTTGCCTGTTCGGAAAGACTCAGAGCAGTAGGCGGCGGCTTCGCGTGCACCGGAGGTCGCAGCTCCTGATGTGTAGAGGTTTCGACTATCGCTGTGATTCATTTTCCCAACCTATAACTCGAATCCACTTTAAATCCTGGCTGGCTTGGCGACGATCATCAGAGCCCTGCCGTTGCATCTCAGGTGCACCAACGGCCGGCAAGGCGGATGGGGTCTTGCACGGCGTGGCCACAGCCTGCACACAACTCCTGTCGTAGTAGTCCATTGGCTGAGTCTCCATGGAGTCCACGAAGAGATGCAGTTTCACGGGCTGGCTCGGGGATGGATTTGCGACCTTATATGATCTCTAGAGTGTAATACCGCGAGGCCGGGGTGAGGGATTATGGATCTAAGAAAAATTTATCCGAGAAGCCTCCTGAGCAGTGGCGTTCGTAGCTTCGCTTGCAGCTGGGGATGGGCTGGGAATCTGGGAGTCCTCAGTATCCATCACGACGGCTGCATGCTCCTTCTTCGCAGGCTCCGTCGCAGACGGGACCTGGCGACTATGAGAGCGGGCGTACAAGGAAATAGCAGATCTACACAGCTAGTTGACAAAATCAGGGTACCGTGTAGGAGCAAGAATTTCTGAGCATTTAGGGTTTAGGGTTTGGGGTCTATTTAGGATTATAAGGGCTTATAATGTTTAGGTGTACGTATACTACCCATCTTACTTTATAAGGTTATTATTAATTTATAATTATAATGTTCTAGCTCCGAATTCAGTTATACGATATATATATATATATATATATTAAACTTAAATATCTAGATCTCGATTACTATTATAATTTATAATACCCTATAAACCCTAAATAAACCCTAAACCCTACTTTTTATGATTATAAATTTAAGAGCAACCCGACCGATGCAGTCACAAGTGTGGAGTCAGTCAAGGCCGACACCACTGAGTAAGCATGATGCCCACAACCCCTAAGCCCCTAAGATGCATACCCTTTACTACCGCTCGATGCCTCCGGCAATGAGCCCGGGGACGGAACCACCGACGGTGAACGAGAGCTCGGCGTCGCCTCGTGGCGAAAAGTGACAGCCCTATATGCGAGGATCACAATAGTCGTCATCGTCATTTAGTGTGCATGTCTCGTGAGAGCTTAAAGGGTAGGTGTGTCATGTTTTTTTATTGATGATGAGCGGCGACAGAAATATCATCTTCTGCATCGGCAGCTAGTACATCCAGTGCAGTGTCGAGGGCAGCATCCGGATCATGACCTCAACAGTACAATTATTGATCGGACCCAGCAATTCGATCTTTAGCTACACTTGCTTGCAATTACAATCAAGATATCATGAGCCTCCTGATTCATCAGCAGACCGGATCACCTGCTTGAGGACCAAGATTTTCTCACGCCTGTCCAACAGCGCTACCCATGCAAACACATATATTATATGTAGCATCATGATCATGATCATGGCTAGTGACTATATAGTGCAAGTGCACCTTGCCCCGGCCGACCGTTTTGCAAGGAACAGGCCGTGCATTGCACCTGTTCGAATGGTGCCTCCCTCGAGGGTTGCCCATTCCTGGCAGCACTGTACGTTGCAGGAAAACTGGAATTTGTCAATCATGAAAATGGAATCTATTTTGAATCCCAGGTGTCCTTCACCTTCTTGGCCTTTGGCTTCGAACCCATCATCCCATATCGCTTGCAGAGCAGGATGAGCACCTCCTGCCAGACATTCGAATTCATATAAATGTTTCATCATCATCATCATCATCACATGATACACACTGCATTCGAAAGGAATCTGTCCACATGTGTCGATCCCAACGGAATCGCCGTTCCGAACGTTGCAAAGTACTCGCAGTAGAACTCGAAGTTGTTTTCGAGCTGGCAGGGCACAAACATCAAATTGGCAAGGCACATAAATTATTATAATTATGCCAAGCCACGGTCTCGACTCTGTCGGGCCCATTCACCCCGATATTCAGCAGGCAATGCCCCTGCCCACAGAAACAATGCCACTGTTTCGTGTGTGCGTGACGCATGTGTGCCATGACAGTCGGCGCTAGTCTGCTCGTGCACACATACTGTGTATGCCCGGGCCCCACCTGGTGCTTGCGAATGCTTGGTAGGCGGTTGGGCTCGGCAAGGAGGTAGGAATTCAGAAAATCCTGATCGGGAGTGAAGCTAGCATGCGCGCTCCATCATGGTTTATTAGAGATAGCCTCCAGCAAACTTCGTTGCGTCCGCCGAAACTCACGTCGCTCCATCATGGCTACCTGCTGTCATCATCAAGGTATTACTTAAAAGATCGCCCAGACCCTGGAGCTGGCAAATAAAAATGCAGCCTGGGCCGCAATCGCAGCAGCCATCGGCAGCCAAGTCTTGCTTATCACTTACCCGTGTGAAAAGCACAAAATTCTCGGCAGAATGCGTCTATTGCAACTCATGCTGCAATTCATGTGCTGTGCCGTGCATGCGCACTAAAACCCACGAGCAGTGAGGGGGGACGCACCGCTGCATTCCCACGCAGGGTCAGTCGGAACAGCATCGTCGTCCTCCCCAGGAGCCAGACGGCTTGGTGATCGTGACCGTCTCTCGGGCAGCTCCTGTCGATGACCTGATCATGGGAAACTTACAACCCCAGAACCGAGCACCGAAAAAGCAACCAGATTCACAGGCTTGCTGGGAATCCTGCGAACTGCTGCAGCAAGACGCATCGGCACAGATGATCATGACCACCATGCGGTCGCTGAGCTATCATGATGCAGATCTAGCTGTGCTTTGCATACAACCACAGGCTGATGGACTCGGATTTCAAAGGCGGACCGCCCAAGCAAGCCGACTTGCTAGGATCACATGATCATGAACCACACATGATCTTGATCGAAGGCCCCATTGCGAGTTACATGGCTGAGCGGACACGCCAAGTATGCAACAAACTCCACAACGGCACCCAATCATCTCAGATCATGGCCATCATAATCAGTTATCATCCGTCCTGATCATGTCTATGCTCCGATCTCTATCTAGATCTTTAGGGTGTAATTAGGGATCATTAGGGTTTTTTTATTGCACATTCAACGCACAGTCGTGAATCTGCATAGGCAGACCCCAGTTCCATGAAAGTATACAAATTTGGCATACTTTCAGGGTTGGCCTGCTGGCTTTCCACAAACGTTAGCACATTTGGGCAACATTTGTACGTAGGGAAACTTGGGACACATTACAACGTTGCCCGGGGAACCGAACACGGAGCTGCTGGGTTAGTTTAGTGCTTCATTTTCTTTTAATCGTTATTTGTTTTTCTTGATGCTTATTTTCGTGTTGGTTTTTTTTGATGCTTATTTTCATGCTTAAGTATTTTTGATGCTTATTTTAGGTTTTTTTTGATTCTCCGGTCTAGTTTTTTTTTG